ACCACAAACACCATTCAAGACATTCACTTACGGTCTGGGGTTTGCTTTTTGCCGAAGAAGTTCATAGTTATAGTGATTTGTGTATTGCTTTCAATGCTATATAACTGTAATAATTGTGTGAATAATACGTTAATTAATAATTATATTATCGTATAATAGACTAGAAGTGAGTAATCATTGAATCACTCATTCATTACAAAACTGTTTCGCAACTGTTTGGCAATAAATCGGTAAACAAATCACATTCACCACAAACTACGTGCATATACTTTAACGGGTGGGGGAGGGGGTTCATGAAAGGTTGTAATGTAGGGACTATTACAGTTATATATACTAACGTCACAAGGGGTTTTGTATGTATTTCAGTTCATTACTGTACTGTACAGTATCATAAGTAAATTATTTGTAAAATAGTATCATAACGTTATTTGTGGTCATACAGTTAAATCATGTCAATTGTTGTGAATTTTGTGGCAATATTTGGTGCAAATTGTATCATAACTATGAACTCAATTTGAGTGATTCATTGCTTTCATTGGTTACTGTTATCACATATAATCGTATTAATAATTAACTAATCAATTAACAAGTTTAATTATCACTCAATTGTAGACTATACAGTATGTGTGTGCAGTCATTGTGATGGCTAAACGGTGATGACAATCACATTCATTACATTTTGTTGACAATTTGTGGTCAGTTTTCATTGCATTCACTAATTGTTTGTAAACTTGTATTCAATTACTTATTATTATTTCATTTGTTTATGATTTCAACAAATGTTTTAGTATTGCATTCACTGGACACGTGTTTGGACTGAAGAGTTTGGCACCATTTGGTGGCAGAAAAGCTAATCACGAGATAAATAGCTGTGAAATGTCTTATCTGAGAGACAAAAACGACAATAACTTCGTCAATGAGTTTGACGACAACACCACAAAGACATCACAATTATCACCCAATTATCCTCAAAACGATACCAATCTATACAACAGATATAAGGAGAACGCGGCCAACGATCGGCTGAAGAGGTCATCGGAGGGCATACCGGCCATCAGTGCCGAAGACTTTCGAATGCTTCGTGAATGCAATCGCGAGAGCTTTTGGATGCGATGTCTGCCGCTGTCTGTAGGCATCTGTTCCCTAATGTTTTATTTGGCGCACAAGAAGTCAGTGAAACCCAAAGTGGTGCACATCTTGAGCGGCACTTTCGGCGGTTGGTTTTTAGGCAAACTCTCGTATCGGCGCACCTGTGAGGACCGGCTCATCCACTCTCCATCGCAGTCCCCATTTGTCACTGCAATGCGACGCCGAAGAGGTATCGTTAGGGACGACACTGTGCTCACCACCGATGGACAACCTGCCGACCAGTCGAGTGACTTATTCTGGGATCAGCCCTCCAAAGACGAGTTTGGTTACGGCGCTCACGAGTTCGCCGATTATAAGGATAATGACTTGAGTGGTGGCAAAGGCCAGGGGGAGACCAAGACATATACGACTTACGATGACTTGAGAGCTCATAATCGCGCCAATAGTCACAAACCTAAACCCTTTAGTGCATAGATTGGACTGTAGTTTGTTTAGCCTTTTATTACTGTTAGTTGTGTTTCAATGAGTGCACTAATGCTGGACCCGATTGACGGCTCAATTCAATGCAGACACTGTCTCACGAGTCCAGTCACTACCCATTCAACTGTCGTTTGTTTATACCGTACTTTGTTTTAAAGTTTGCTACAAACGTATAAATGAATTGATACTACCGGTACAATCATAACAAACATTTTACTAATTAGTGATCAATTGTATATTTACTAAAATCTAATTACGGTAATAAAAAAATATAATAAAATATATTGTATTGCCAATTCTTTGGATGCCATAAATTTCATGAATATTTAGTTACAGTAGTTGAGCTGTTGTGAAGATTCTGTGGTTAAATGGGTTTCAATGAATTATAAGTTTATGTAAATTAATGCATAACAAGTGACCGGATATTGCATTCAATGATGTGAAAGCACTCTACAGTCTATGTAATCATTGGGTCGTCAATGCGCTGTAAGACTGAGTGCACTGTAAGACTCAAAGCACTGTAAGCTTTAGACGCTGTCCATGAGATAATGGGAACAAATGATAGTTTTTGAACAAATGATAGTTTTTGAACAAAGTGCTTCACTGCAGTTCATAGACAGAGGTATGGGTCAACTATCAAATAGTGAATGCCATACAAGTGTTGTGCACAATATTGCAGTATTCATTTTAATTCTGATTGGCAATAAAGGTTTTGTTAAATTTATTGTATTTATTAAAACTTAGGCAAATAATTTTTGTACAAAATTGAAAATATTTAATATAATAATGGTATATATCGGTACAAAAAAGATTAATTAAATTGAAAATATTTATTTAATTTGCATTTATTGGTTACAGTTAAGTTTTAAACCGATTTCCAAACTATTAGATTTATAAGAAAGTTTAAATTTGCAAATATTTATTGCAAACCTAATTGTGT